TGACCAAATCCGATCGGTAGAGAAATGAGTAGAAGTCACATAGAGTGATAGCGCCCAGCCGTGCCTCCGGTCAGATGAGACCGTGACATTCCAATGAGTAAGAATGAGAAACAAAGGAATAGAAAGAACAGAAAGAGAAATGAGTAGAAGTCACGTAGAGTGATAGCGCCCAGCCGTGCCTCCGGTCAGATGAGACCGTGACATTCCAATGAGTAAGAATGAGAAACAAAGGAATAGAAAGAACAGAAAGAGAAAAAGAGGAAAGTCACGAAGAGTGGGTTGAGTTCCCGGCCGTGCCTTCGGTAAGATGAGGCCATGACATACAGGGGGGTGTATAGCAAAGAATATGAGAAACAAAAACAGAAACAGAAAGAGAACATAGATGAGAAAAGAATAGTGTAAGGAAAGAATTAAGAGAATGTTACGGGGATAGACAAGTAGAGGACTTACTTACTGAGCATTAGTTGTGCTTACCCCGTTGTTTCTATGCTTTTGCAGGTTCCAGGTGAGTACGCAGTCGGATGGACGTCAGCGGGCGAGTGAGAGTAGTTACACTGTCCACCACACTTTTGTGAACTTTTGTAAATGATACTAACTTTATGTAAAGAATATGTATATTAAATGAAAGAAAACTTTTGGGCTCAACTATTTTTATTAATGTACCTTTATTTTATTGTATGTGTTTTTATGAATATAGTAGTATAAAGTAGGTATTACAGGACAATTTCTCTTTTCCAAAAGTATGAAAAAAAAAAGTCATTTATATTCGAAGATATTTACAATGACATTTATACTCTCTCGCTATTTTGTTAATGAATATCAATAAAATCCTGGGAGGAGTTGACCATTATTGACTAAATGGTTTGCTTCCCATGTTAGTACGAGACAAACCGTAGATAGAGTGAGGTAGGGGGTCACTTGACCCTCTTTGACATCGAAAAACTTTCAAAAATATATATGTTTCAAATTTTGAAATTTCACACAATTATACTAACAAAATATATCAATTAATTTTTTAAAGTTTTCAAATTATCTCACAAGTACATTTAATAAATTTTACGCTAAATTTATGTTTTTTTTTATTTAATTATACAAAGAACAAAATTAATAAAGTTTGTATACTTTTTCATATATTTTATAAAATAAAGATGCTTTCTAAAATTAGTTTGTCAAATTAATATTTTGATGCATTATTCAAGGGGTCTAAATATGATAGTGAAACTATAATAAAGGCCATAATACATGAAAGCTATATAAAATTTTAAATATATTTATTCATAGAATTTCAATTGTAATTTAATTTGGAAATGTTGGCATTTGTGTTGGTATAATAACTTGTTCATTACTAGATTTTCTTGGTTGTATTTTATACTTGTTGAGCAATGTAAGTTTGTTTCATATCATCAAGGACACTTGAAATAAATTAATTATATATAATATTATAAATAAAATTTTCTATTTTAATGCAATTTATGTCCAATATATTTGTATATAGTTTCAAATACAATAGAATAGTTATGATTAACTAACATTTTGACCCCCTTAAATGAGTTTCTAACGGTTGGAAGAGGAGCATTTAGCTCAAGGCTAAATAGAACGAATTGAGAAGAGAAGTGTTTGGAAGAGATAATTACTATTGCTTCTCAAATTTGGTTGGTACAAAATGGCTAGTGTCGCCTCCTTTTATAGTGCTTAAGGGAGCCTTATACACTGTAATTCCCAACTACCATCTATTTTAATAAATATCATCTATCATCTTTCGCAATTAATAATACCTAACAACTCTCTAATAAAAGAGATATTTTTACATGATTTTTTTAGTTACAAGTACAAGACTTATTATTTGGACTAAATATATGGTCAAACATGGATTTTACATTAGGCTTAGTAAAAAATATTAAACTAACAATATATATAAGTATAAATGATACAAATCAAGTTTAACATCCATCACTAGCTAAGTCTAGAGGTGGGAAAGGCCCGGGCCCAGGCAGACCTGGGCTTGGGCCCTCAAGGTTCGGGCCCAGGCCCAAATCATATATATATATATAAAAACTAAACTATCTTGTCCCTTGATAAATCCACAATACCTAGCTAATAACAACTTAATTGACTTGGGATATATATATATATAGTCAATTAAGTTGTTGTTAGCTAGATAGTAAGGATCTATCCACGGACAAGATATTTTCTAATATCATCCGAAATCTTAAAGATTATTATTATAATTAATATAAAATTAATCAGTTTTTTGTCCGGAAAGAAAGGGTTGTTATNATCTTGTCACATGGGATTGACAAGTAGGATTCGTGATTTCATGAACCCAATCAAATTACTTCATTTTGACACGTTGAGTTTGTATTTATTACCTCATCTACAATTAATAATTAATAAAAATTATTAAATTTGTATTAATAATTAATAATAATAATAATAATATAGGTGAATTACATTGACATTCCAAAGCTGTAACCATTTTGATGCATTGGATGTGCATTAATAACAAGTATACAGTGCATTGGGTTGCTATTGTATTTATTGTTCTATCTACAATTAATAATTAATAAAAAGTTCATTTGTGTTGAATATGTTTTCTATAAAAACATTCGTGTATTTTAATTTGTTATATGAATGATTAATTATTTATGTCTTGCTGATGTGTGAGTATATATGTTAAATGAATTAATTTTGGCCGATTCCATTTTCCAATTAATAGGTGTTATTTGAAATATTTCTTATCAGTCCTAATATGATAATCCCTTAAATTTGGGTTAAGTAAACTATTCATTTTATCATTACACACATTTCGATTTCTACTAAACAATCAGTAGTAAATGGACCATAACTTGCTCAATAAAAAGCCAATTGATGAGAAGATTGAATCTTTAGAAACTAGATAGACAGGGCTTTAATTTGATATATTATACACTTAATTCGGATAACTGTAGCCCCACTGTTGAACCATTTCTTTTATCATCACACATTTCGGCTTTTACTGAACAATCAATAGTAAATTGACCATAACTTATTCAATAAAAATCCAATTGATGAGAGGTTTAAATATTTAAAAACTAGACAGATAGGGCTTGAAATTGATATATTATATGCTTAATTTGGATAACTGTAGCCCCACTCCCAAACCATTTCTTTTATCATTACACACATTTCGGTTTTCCCTGTTTCTCGATTTCCACTGAACAGTCAGTAGTAAATTAGTTATAACTTGCTCAATAAAAATCTAATTGATGGGTGGTTTGAATATTTGAAAACTAGACAGACATGGTTTTATTTTAATATATTATAAGCTTTATTTGAATACTGTGGCCTCACTACCCAACCATTCCTTTTATCATCACACACATTTCGGTTTTCATTGAACAGTCAGTAGTAAATTAACCATAACTTGCTCAATAAAACTCCAATTTATGAGAGATTTGAATCTTTAGAAACTAGATAGACAAGACTTTAATTTGATATGCACTTAATTTGGATAACTATAGCCCCACTTCCAAACTATTCCTTTTATCATCACATGTGTTTTGGTTTCCACTAAACAGTCGGTAATAAATTGACCATAACGTGCTTAATAAAACTCCAATTGATGAGAGGTTTGAATCTTTAGAAACTAGACATATAGGGCTTTAATTTAATATATTATATGATGAATTTGAATAACTATAGACCTATTGCTAAACCATTCATTTTATCATCACACACATAAAACAAATTCAATTTTAGTGATGACAAAGGAAAACAAATATTGATATATAGTTTTAATTGTATTTGTTCTATCTCTTTTTTGTTATTTTTGGATTGATTTTGTTGTTTGATTTGTGGGTTTTACAATTATTGTCTTTCTTTAGGATGTTGTCATCAAATGCTTTTTTGCTATATGTGGTGGTCAATTCTAATTGTAGCAAATGGATTTGTGTCACAGGACGTTTATCTTCATGGCTTTTTCAATGCTTCAATTAAGTTGCCTTCAAATTACACTGTTGGGGTTGTTATTGCTTTCTATGTGAGTTCTCTTATCAACATTCTTAATTTTTTTTTATTTCTAAAATAATAATTCATTTTCTCTGCTCAACAATCAAAATCAGTTTTTTCCTTTGGCTCTGCAAGTCTCTTGCTTAAAAGTTCACATTTTTTAGCAAGATTTCTCTTTCTATAATTGATTTATAGACTTATCAATAATACCTAGTAGGTATGAAGTATAAAGGCTAGGAAGTGTTTGAGGAAATTTGGGGTTGTTTTTATAATGAATAGAACTATTAGTAACCTTGGGGTTGTATCTGCAAAATATCAAACTTGTGTCAAATGCTGTGTGTTTTATCATAACAAAGAGTATGAATATTGCCCACGTCTGTAATGAATTCATTAATGAAGAAACCTATTTTTTAGTTGTAACAGAAATTCCCTTGATTGTTCTCTATTTTTCTTGCTTTCTTGCTTTTCTTCAAATCCTTCATGGTATTAGAGCCCTAGAAATGCGTCAATGGTTGATCTAATCTTGAGTTTTCCACTTTTGTTTTGAAATCAGAATATGAGCAAGCTGCTAGCTCTGGAGCTAGTAATCTAGCTGTTCATTCTACGTTACTGACACTTTCTGTGATGCTAATAGAGAAGAATTATGGATACTGGAGGTCCCAAGTCTTTCTAGCCCTTGCATCAAGTGACCTCGATGGCTTTATTACTGGTGAGAACACATGTCCTCCCATGTTTTTAATTGAAAAATCTATTGCATGTGAAGCATTTATAAAGAAGCCAAACCCTATGTACTTTAATTGGAAATGCACATATCAATTCTTAGTTAGCTGGCTGTTTTCATCTATATCTGAATCTATTTTCAGCACATAGCTAAGTGTGTTAGCTCGTATGAAATTTGGAATACTTTAGAACTACATTTCCAATCTTTTTCAAAGGCCATGACATTGCACCTAAGAAACTTGTTACAAATCACAAAAAAAGACTCCTTAACTATCAATGAATATGTTTTAAAGATGAAAGAGTTAGGTGATGAGCTAGTGGCTACTGGAGTCAATATTGGAGATGAGGAACTACTTTTGTACATATTGGATGGTCTCGGACCAAAATACGATGCTGTAGTAGCTAACTTAACATACAATAGTAGTATGGCCAGTATATATGAAGCTCAATTTTTGCTCCACAAACATGAGATAAGGTTGGAGCGACAGAATAATGCTTTGACAAACTTTCATGAGCACCTCACCTCTGCACTGATAGCTTTTAAGCAAGGGTCAGTAGATTCTTCCATAGGATTTTCGTTGAATTCTAATATGCCAGGGACTGCAATTTAGAACAGCTCACATGTGATACAGCTTGGAATATCAAACTATTCCCCTGCTTCTGAACTAGGATATCAGCATGGTTATTCACCTGGTGCTATGGAAATAGGATGTCTCATCCAATAGAAGGCATTATGAGTTCTGTGAATACAAGTTACCAAGGAGTTGGATTTAACAAATCTTTTTACTCAGCTGTACCACCAAAGTCTTTTGGTCCTGGTATTGCTAAGCTTCATGGTAATATGATGAAAGGAAGAGGCAGAGGTAGAGGATACTTTAAGCCAAAACTAATCTATCAAGTATGTGACAAATCTGGTCATTTGGCCATGTAGTGCTACCATAGGTTTGACCAGGAATATCAAGGTTTCATTACATCCTCATATGGCTCACCAATGCAAAATTCTAACTATAATGCATCAATTCTTGCACAAGATAACTTTTCTAGAGTTCATACTGATTCTATTCAGGGGTTGTTAGCTGCTACCTGTCCACCACATGGTTCCTTAAACAATTCGTTTGCTGGCTTTCATGACTGCTCTGTTCCTGCATTGACCAAGGCAAATTAGAACTACATATCACCTGTTGTACCTACTGTCTCCTCATAATCTCAAACCACACCTTAGTATTAGAACACAAATGCTAGTACCTCGAATGTTTCCTTCTCCAAGGCTGTTCCTGAGTCACTAGTACCTGCATTCAACACTTATGAAGCAGTAACAACTCCACAGACAGTGAATGATCAAGCTTGGTCTATGGATTCAGGGGCATCTCATCAGATGACAGCAGATGGCTCTAACCTGATGTTTAAATCCAATTATCCAGGATGTTCTAAAGTCCAAGTTGGTAATGGAGAATCTATTCCCATTACTCATATAGGTATGCTTTTGGTGCCTTCATTTGATACTAATAAAGTTGTTAAATTTAGGAATATATTGTGTGTTCCAAAGATTGCAAAGACTTTGTTAAGTATCTCACAGATTGCTAGGGAAAATCCTGTCATAGTAGAGTTCCATACTGATGTTTGCTTGGTAAAGGATAAGGATAGTGGGACTGTGCTACTTTAAGGGGCTATGAAGAATAGACTTTATCAACTGGAACTGTCCAAGCATGTTAGCTCTCCTTCACGCATCTACAATAATGCAGTTTCTTCTTCTGATTCATACTCATCAATAAAAGCAGAGTGTTATTCCACTGCTGACCCTCACACTACTGGTGTTGGTTTGACATCTGAAGCTATTCAACATTCTAGTTCAGATTTGTCTAGTGTTGTTAGTTTTACTATCTGTAGTTTCAGTTGTAATATAGATACAAGTTCAGACTTACCTTTGTTGTGGCATGCGAGATTAGGGCATCCAAATATGAGAACACTTCATGCTGTGTTAGAAAAGTTGAATGTAAAACATAATGTGAGTAATAAAATTGCTGCCTTTTGTGAAGCCTGTCAGTATGGGAAATTGCAACAATCTCAATTTCTAGCATCTAAATCTAGAGCAAAGACTCCCTTAAAGTTGGTTTATTCTAATTTATGGGGCCCAGCACCTGTGCTATCTGTAACGCACACATCAAGGTACGTAGCTTTATTTATGCCCTAATACTCTTAGTTGAATTTTGTTAAAGTTATCTTGAACAATTGTAAAGGAAATTCCTTAAAACTTATAGTCTTTTCACTCATAATGAGTTGAAAAAGTGGGGACTGAAAAGAAATAGAATAACGTGGAGAAGATAATAAAAATGAGGGTATTATGGTAATTGACTAAGGGACATAGATGAAATTTTTAGAAAGTGCAAGGGTAAAATCGAAAACTATATATATTATTATGTAGTAATAAGAGTTCAAGGATTGAAACCCTAGCCACTCCACCCATTATTCACGCCACTCTCTACCTAAATTCTCTCAATTTTTCTTCCACTAATTTCAAGGAAATTCATAGGATTTTGGCTAATTTTGGATAGATTTTCAATCCTAAGCATCCAAAGGTAAGATTCTTGCACCAAGATGTGAGATTAAATTTTAAAGTTTTGAATTCTTATAGTTTTATATGCTTAGGATTTAAGAGGAAGGGAAATTCTACCAAAGAGAGATTATAGTGTTGGAATTGCTCAAATTCAAGGTAAGTAAATCCAACTTTAGCTTTGATTGGATAAATACTTGAGTAGAGAAATTTCTTATATATTGTATGTGTGTTTGGATGATGAGAATTATAGATTGAAATTGAGATTGTTTGATATGTAAATCTCATGGCCATGAGAAGTGATGTATTAGTATGTGTTGAGTTGATGAAATTTTGGGCGAAATATGAAAGAATGGATGTTGAATGGTGAAGGATAAAATTCGGCTAGGGTGATTGTTGGCCTTAGGGAGTTTTTGCTCCAATTTTGGTGGCTTGAAGAATATGTGGAAGTGCAACCAATTTAGGGTTTGTATGTGCATGTAAGGTGTTTGATGAAATTTCCAAGAAAGTGCTATATGAGTATATTAGAATTATTACCTTGTTATGTATTTTTGTTGGTAGAGAATATTAGTCTTATAATGATATCTTTATATGCCCTAATGCATTCTTTAATTTTGAGCATTTGCATTTAGAAAGAACAACAAAGAAAGAGCATATTTACATGCACATATACATGTATGAGAACATTAAAGAATAAAGAGAAAGAAAGAAAAGAATAGAAAAGAAAAGAAAAGAAAAGAAAGAAAAGAAAAGAATAGAAAAGCAAGAAAAACAGAAAAGAAAGAAGAGAAACAGAAAAAGAAAGAAACGCAAAAAAAGAAAGAAAACAAAAAAAAAAAGAGAATGCATTGCATAGAAAAATTTCATGCATTTATGCATATGCATCATGCCATTTCTACTACCTCGAGTTAGTTTCCCTATTTGTGCTTACATATCAGTAAGTGAGAAACTAGAATCTTAGAAAGAGTAGAGAAGAATTTAGAAGTTTGGTGTAAGGAAAGTAGGATCTGAGTAACAGAGAAAGAATAGAAGTATTGTGGGTTTACTTACTGAGCAATTAGTACTCACCCCATTGATTTCACTGTTTTTGCAGGTAGTAAATGAGATGCGGTCGGATGGGACGTCAAGTAGCGGAGGAGAAAGGCAACACTGTCAGACTGTATTTTTGAGTCTATTTTTGTGACTTATTACTTGATGTAGAGATTTGTATATAAAGAAAAATTAGTTATGGGCCCTCTATTTCATACTTATATATATATATATTTTCTATAATATGTTTAGTGAGTTTTACTTATATTTTTTCCAAAGAATTACTAGCTAGAAAGAATATTACATTTTTGGTATCAGAGCATGGTTTTGGGATTTGACAGTGTGTCCCTCTCGCCACATTGTCGTATAGTAGCCGACCGCTGTAAGTTGTTTCTTTCCTTACTTATAGTAGATGAGTTAACTTAGTTGACTAATAGTGTTGGTGCTATGTGATTTAGATGAGACACATGACCCGATCAGGTGAGTTAACTTAGTTGACTAATAGTGTTGGTGCTATGTGATTTAGATGAGACACATGACCCGATCAGGTAAAAAGAATGTTGTGAGTGCGGGTGAACCATCCACCCGTTAGGATCTACTCCTCCTGTTCTTGATGAAACGAGGATTCATAGTATTGTATAGCAGGTAGTGGCAGAGAGTCAGGGGAGACCGATATCAGAGAGAGTTGAAAACCCAGTCATTGTACCGACCGCCAAAGAGGAGAGAGAGAGGCCGGTTGTAATAACTCTTTCTAGCTAGTAGACTTTGGAAAATATAATATGAAGTCAGTAAATATATCATAGAAATTATATATGTATTTAAGTACAAAATAGTGGGCACAAAAATTTCTTTACATTTATAAAAGTGTCATATACATAAACTCAAAAACAGGCGGCAGTAGTGTCATTCTCCTCCACTCTCGACGTTCCATCCAACCGCTTCTCACCTATTTCTTGCCAAAAAAAAAAAAAAAAAAAAACAACAGCGAACTCATAGAGTGAGCACTAGTTTACTCTCTATTGTTCATATTCTGAATTTCTTTTCTTACATCACACTTTTCTATTTTTCTTGGTTCTCTATTTCTAATTCTCTCTATTCTTTCTCTATTTCTAATTTCTTACTACTCATGATAGTAAGCATGGTATCATGCATAGGTATGATGCAAATGCACAAATACATAGGATAAGCATTTTTCTTTATGTTTTTCTATTTCTTATTCTATTTTTCTTTCTTTCTTTTCTTTCTATTCTTTTCTTTCTTTCTTATTCTTTGCCGATCGGACTCGGTTGAGGCATGGATTCGGAACCCTGGCCATGTGAGTGAGTACAGTCCTCATCTACATGCACTTCTTACGGACTGTACAGATTCTTCTTCTTCTTAGGCCGCTCACTAAAGGCGGCGTGCATGTAGGTATATTCTTCTGGGTACAGTCCTCATCCACATGCACTCTTACGGACTGTATAAATTCTTCTTCTTATTCTTAGGCCGCTCACTGAAGGCGGCGTACATGTGGGAATATTCTTCTTCTTGTCACTCTAGGTTCCCCATCGCAACAACCTTATTTTCTCTTATCTTTCTTTTAGAATTTTGTATTCAATTTCTTTTCTTTCATAATTCTCTTTTCTTTCTTTGCTCTTTAATATTCTTATATGCATGTATGCATGTAGATGGGCTTTTCTTATTGTTCTTTCTTAATTCAAATGGTTAAATGCAAAAATGCAATATGGCATGTAAACATGTCATTCTCTACTTTCTCTACTATCTACAAACTCATATAAAAAAGATAAATCAACATACTCATACATGCACCTCTCTATGAAATTTCATCAAACATTTTATATGCACAAGTAAAGCACTAAGGTGATTACACTTCCATAACAATCTCTAACCACCAAAATTTTGGAGCAAATCTCCCTAAAACAACTCCAAATCTGGCCAGGAAAATATACTCCATAACTCTACTCAAATTCTTTCTTAGCTTATCCAAACTTCCATCAATTTCTATAAACACAATCATCACTCCTCATGGTGGAATTCTAACCATGAATCATCATCAATTCCATCAACAAATCTGAACACTCAAGCATATAAAATACATATAAAAATTTCTCTACACCCATTATTGCTCAAATCAGGGGCTAGGGTTGGATTTACTTACCTTGAACTTGGGTAGTTCCACACTAGAATCTCTCTCTTTGGTAGACTTCCTCTTCCTCTTAAACCCTAAGCATATAGACTATAAGAATTCAACACTTTAAAAATTAACCTCACATCTTATTGTTAGAATTCTTACCTTTGTATGCTTAGGATTGAATATCTACCAAAATCCAACAAAAAATCCTCTAATTTGCCTTGGAAATTTGATGAAGAAATTGAGAGAATTTGGGGATGAAAGTGGCGTGTGAGGGAGTAGAGAATGGTAGGGTTTTCCTTCTTGAACCCTTAATATCTCATTTATTACTCATACTTTCCCATTTTGCACTTGGACTTTCTATGAAATTCCATCTTTACCCTTTAGTCAATTATAATAATGCCCTTATTTCCATTGTATTCTTCATGAAATTCTACTACTTTTCACTCCCCACAGTTTCAACTAATTATGGGTGGAATGACCATTTTGCCCTTAAGGAAGTTTTCTAGAATTTTCTCAAAAATTCCAACAAGTTCTTTGCCCCAAAGAAACATTCTAGAGTGTACTTTGTCACGACAAACTTCTTTCCTTGTCGCAGCAAAATCTGTAATTCTAAAACATGAATTGGGCAGTGTGTACAATGCCGTGGTGACAAAACTCCTTTGCCGTGGCGAAGTCTGCAAATTCTAATTTTCAATCTTTCACCTTGAAATAAATAAAACTAAGGGAATTAAAGCATAAATAAGTTACCTCACTGTGGGTATTACACCGATATCCCCTGTAGGACATAGTCATCTTAAGCCTATTTATGGGTTACCGAGTTAGCATCAGCTGTTAGAATTCAGAGGTACGACGGACCCAATAGTAGCAGAAGAGTGGATTCGGTCTGTGGAGCGTACGACGACACTGTTCCCCATGATAGATCGGGAGAAGATCCAATATGCCAATTTTC